TTATTATTACTGTTGGTTATATTATTTTAGTAATCCACATTTATTATAGTCGTATAGCGTGAATATTATTTCTGTGGGGGTTAATTTTCCCAATAACTAGTATCAAAGTACATGTTCTGCTCATTCACAGAAATATTATTTACAGTCAATTTTACTTTGTGACAAAAACAATGTGAGGAGTAAAGTTTGAAGTAACAAGATTCAACGATAATGACGGTTTCTCCATATGCCAAAGAAGGATGAAGGACCTACTCATCCAACAAGGGTTAGACATTGCACTAGATGGAAAAGAGGCAAAGCCGGAAACCGTGAAAGCCGAGGAATGGGCAGACATGAATAAGAAGGCGGCTAGTGCAACCAGACTGCACTTGTCCGATGAAGTACTCAATAATGTCGGGGATGAAAATAGTGCATGTGGTATTTGCAAAAGACTAGAAAGTCTATACATGTCCAAATCCTTACAAACAAGTTATTTTTGAGAAAGCAACTTTATGCCATCCATATGAGTGGAGGTACAAATTTCTTGTCCCATTTACATATGTTCAATAGATTAATCACGCAGCTGGCAAACCTTGGAGAAACAATCACTGAAGTAGATAAGGCTATCATGCTTCTAAACTCGTTGCCATCTTCATATGATAATTTGACAACAACCATCTTGCATGGTAGAGATACCATCGATTTAAAGGAGGTCACATCAGCCATCCTACTTAATGATAAGATGAGGAAGAAGCCCGAAAATCAGGGGCAGGCTCTTATCATGGAAAACAGATGAAGAAGTTTTTATAGAGCATCGAGTAGCCGTGATAAATCCAAAGCTCGTGGAAAGTCCAGGAACCGATCAAAGGATAGAAATTGCTACAGTTGCAGTCAACCCGGTCACTTCAAAAGAGATTGCCCAAAGAAAGGTCGAGGCGAGAGCAGTGTCCAGAAGAATGATGAAAACACAACCGATGCAGTGCACAACGATGATTCGGTGGCTCTCTTCGTTCACGAGAAGGAGGAATGCATGCACTTAGAAAGATAAGAGTCAGAATGGGTGGTTGATACAATTGCATCCTACCATGCCACACCGGTAAGAGAATTCTTCTGTAGGTATAAAGGAGGAGACTTTGGAATGGTCAAGACGGGAAATTCCAGTCACTCAAAGATTGTGGGGATTGGCGACATTTGTATCAAGACAAATGCCGGATGCACATTAGTTTTAAAAGATGTACGGCACGTACCAGATCTGCGAATGAATTTGATTTAAGGATCGCTCTAGATCGAGACGGGTACGAGAATCACTTCGCCAATAGGAAGTGGAGACTCACTAAGGGATCATTGGTGATTCCTAAAGGAGTTGTTCCCTACACATTGTACAAGACAACCGCTGAGATATGTGAAGATGGATTACATGCAACTGTAGATGATACGCCTGCAGATTTATGGCACCGAAGATTGGGCCATATGAGTGAGAAGTGACTGCATATCCTATCCAATAAGTGACTCATCTCATTTGCAAAAGGTACAACTGTGAATTCTTGTGATTATTGTTTATTTGGAAAACAACACAGGGTATCGTTTCAAGCAACTCATGAAAGAAAATCAAATATACTTAATTTAGTATATTCAGATGTTTGTGGTCCAATGGATGCAGAATCAATGGGAGGTAATAGTATATTCAGATGTTTGTGGTCCAATGAATGTAGAATCAATGGGAGGTAATAGTATATTCAGATGTTTGTGGTCCAATGAATGTAGAATCAATGGGAGGTAACAAATATTTTTTCACATTTATTGATGACTCTTCACTAAAATTGTGGGTTTATTTCTTGAGAACCAAAGACCAGGTATTTCAAGTATTTCGGAAATTTCATGCTCTAGTAGAAAGAGAGACAAGTCAAAAATTAAAGCGTCTTAGGACAGACAATGGAGAAGAGTATACTTCAAAGGAGTTTGAAGACTACTGCTCAAGCCATGGAATCATACATGAGAAGACAGTTCCTAGAACCCCACAACATAATAGTGTAGCTGAAAGGATGAATCACACCATTGTCGAAAAAGTGAGAAGTATGCTCAAAATGGCAAAACTATCTAAGTCATTTTGGGGTGAAGCAGCTCGTATAGCATGTTACTTGATTCACAGAAGCCCATCAGTTCCATTGGAGTTTGACATTCCAGAGAAAGTTTGGACCAACAAAGAGGTATCTTACTCCCATCTGAAAGTGTTTAGATGTAAAGCTTTTGCACATGTGACGAATGAGCAGAGAACGAAGCTGGATGACAAAGCTATTCCCTGCATCTTCATCGATTATGGAGACGAAGAGTTCGTCTACAGATTGTGGGACCCCGAAAGGAAAAAGATCATTAGAAGCAGAGATGTGATCTTCAGAGAAGATGTGGTCGGGATTGATAGTGATCAATCAACAAAGACCAAAAATAATAATGGTACAGTTACTAACTTTGTTACTACTCCTACTGTACTTATTCGTAATCCTTCCACAGATGAAGAATGGCACACGGAAGACGTAGATGAAGAGGTTGCTGAGCAGGGGAAGCACCCTAGTCCACAAGAGGAAGAAGGAGAGCAACAACAAGAAGAAGAAGGACAACAACCTTTGAGAAGATCTGATAGAGAGAAGGTAGAGTCCACAAAGTAACCTTCTTCAGAGTATATCCTTGCCACTGATAAGGGGGAGCCAGAGAATTTCAAGGAGCTACTATCTCATCCGAAACAAATCCAGTGGATGGAAGCCATGCAAGAAGAGATGAATTCTCTACAGCAGAATGATATGTACGAACTGGTTGAACTTCCAAAAGGCAAAAGACCGCTCAAGTGTAAGTGGGTCTTTAAACTCAAGAAAGATGGAAATGGCAAGCTGGTCAGACACAAATCTCGATTGTGGTAAAAGGTTTCGAACAGAAGAAAGGTATTAATTTTGATGAAATTTTCTCGCATGTTGTCAAAATAACTTCTATTCAAACAATCTTGAGCTTGGCAGCTAGCCTAGAACTTAAAGTGGAGCAGTTGGACGTGAAAACTGCATTTCTGCATGGAGATTTGGAAAAAGAGATCTATATGGAGCAGCCAGAAGGTTTTGAAGTAAAGGCGAAGAAATACATGGTGTGAAAGTTGAAAAAAAGTCTTTATGGGCTAAAACAAACACCTAGGCAGTGGTACAAGAAGTTTGACTCATTCATGAGAAGTCAAACGTACAAAGACTTTTTCAGATCCATGTGTATACAATAGGAAATTCTCTAACAATAACTTTATCATCTTGTTGTTATATATGGATGTCATGCTGATTGTAGGACAAGACAAGAAGTTGATTGCCAAGTTGAAGAAAGATTTGTCCAAGTCATTTGACATGAAAAGACTGGGTCCAGCACGACAAATTCTAGGAATGGAGATTGTCCGAGATAGGACAAATAGTAAGTTGTTGTTGTCACAACATAAGTATATTGAACATATACTTAAACGCTTCAACATGATGAGTGCTAAACCAGTTAGCATGCCTCTTGCTGGTCATATGAAGTTGATCAAGACAATGTGTCCTATAACAAATTAAAGGAAGATAAAGAAAGTATGGCTAAAGTTCCATATTCATGTGCCGTCGGGAGCATGATGTATGCAATGGTATGTACTAGACCTGATATTGCTCATGTTGTCGGTATTGTTAGCAGGTTTCTTGATAAACTCGGAAAAAACATTGGGAGGCTGTGAAGTGGATACTTAGGTATCTAAAAGGAACCTCATATGATGCTTGTGTTTTGGGAGATCAGATCTAGTCTTGAAGGGCTACACAGATGCTGATATAGCAGGTGATCTTGATAATCGTAAATCTACTACAGGATACCTGTTCACTTTTTCAGAGGGAGATATATCATGGCAGTCGAAGTTGCAGAAGTGTGTTGCGCTCTCTACAACTGAAGTAGAGTATATTGCCACTACTGAAGCTGGAAAGGAGATGGTTTGGCTGAAACGGTTCCTTCGAGAGCTTGGATTACATCAAAAGGAGTATGTCGTCTATTGTGACAGTTAAAGTGCAATAGACCTGAGCAAAAACACCATGTATCATGCAAGGACGAAGCATATCGATGTGAGGTATCACTGGATTCGAGAAAGGATAGAGGATGGATCTATGCAGGTCAAGAAGATCCATACAAGTGAGAATCCTTCTGATATGCTGATCAAAGTGGTACCAAGAGACAAGTTCGAACTATGCAAAGAGCTTGTCGGCATGCACTCAAATTAGAAACTCCGGTGTTACCTCCTTCAGGTGCATGAGACTGGAGGGGGAGATTTATTGGGTCCATCCTATGGCCCATGTGAAAGAAGATAAAGCTTCCTTTTGGTTTTGTCAAGCCAACTAATTTAGAAGTTCAATTTGGGCAACTAGGTTTTGAAGTGAATATTGATGTCATTGCATACATTAATATGAGCATTCTTCAATTATAAATAGGTGCCTCTACCTACATTTGTAATCACATCAAAACAAAGAGAAAGAGAGTGATTTACAGAGTAAGAAGCAAAATACTCTGTGAGGGAAAATATAGAGAGTTTGAGCAGTATTGTAGTGAGGTAGAAAAATCAAAAGAAGGTTATTTCTTTTGAGTGTTTAGTGGTATTGGAGTATTTTACCCGGTACCACAAATTGTAAAATCCTCGCTATAGTGAAATCAGTTGCTCCTCTCGGGCCGTAGTTTTTCCCTTATTGAGAAGTGTTTTCCACATAAAAATTTCGGTGTCCTTATTTCTCTTATTATTATCATTGGTTACAGTATTTTAGTAATTCGCATTTATTATAGTCGTATACCGTGAATATTATTTCAATGCGAGTTAATTTTCCCAACAAAGTAGGAGTATGAACTAACGAGAAACTAGAGGTCCATACGTCCACCACCTTTGTCATACTCTGTAGGTATAATGTGCTATATGCAAATTAATTAAAGCTATGATTTTCCTTCTCGAATTTTACCCTCTTATCATTTTCTTTTCACTTTTATAACAAAACCGTTGCGTTAGCCAAAAAATCGTTTTCTTTAAAGAGTTGGGATATGTACCCTTGGGCAATGATTCTTTGTAAAAGATTATCCATGGCAACGATGTTATTTGCCTCATTATTTCCTCCCTACGATACACCTCTGTTATATGGGTTTTCTATTTTTTATTTTTTCGAAAATCTTCCTCTCCCAAAATCTCCCAAAAAACCCTACTTTCAGCAATTTCCCTCTCTTCATCGGCTTTAGCTATCAATTCTTAAAATTATCTTACTGAAAATGAAATTTACTGCTACATAAGTATCTCTCCCTAAAATAGTACCACAGTTTTACGGAGAAATCGAGTGAAGAACAGCTCTTAGATCTCTAGATCTGCATCGCCGTCGTAAGTCTCTCCGATCTCTTTAGCATGTACTATTTTGCTGCATTTATCCCATACTCGAAATTATAGAGTTCATTTTGTTTGTGTGAGAAGAAAATGAGGTCTCAGATGTATTAGAAGAAGATATCTATACATCTTTAAGAACAATTTGAATTTGAATCTTTTTTTTCTAAATTGGGATCAGAATCAGCAGCTAGAATCATTACTATAGGTTGATAGGGTTTTAAGATGGTCTTGCATTCATTATTCTTAGTATTCGTGGCTAACCGTCAACCTATTACTATACCTTTCTTCTGTATCTAACTTGAGAGAACCTACGGTACATGCTTAGTAGTTAGTAGTATGAGCAGAAAGTTTTGGTGTTCTTTGGTACTAAATGGTTTGTTTATTTTTCCACATTGGTGCCTTTACCTTTGAGTTGAAAAAAGTGGTTTAAATTTTGAGATGTATGCTGCAGTGCTTTGAATTTATTTATTTATTTATTTTCTGTTGGATCTGATTGGAATTCTATCTGCATTTAATCAGGATAATGGATGTGTTAACTGATGAACAAACGCGTATGGTGGTAGAAGAAAAATGCAATATACATATTTTATAAGATCACTTTCACGTAATATATAGGTTCTGACATAAATATTTGTATTGTGTTATCAAGTCTTTTAAACAAAAAGTTTCAAGAATGTAAACAAATCAGACATCACTATTATTTTTTTTGCCTCTCCAATTAAGCTTGAACTCTTCTGCAGTATTCTTTGGTACTTATTTCTGTAGTTAAGCTTGAAACTTTTGTGCAGTAATTCTTCTTCTTTTTGTAGTTAAGCAAGGAGATCAAGGTGAGAGTTCTTTGAGTAATAAACGGTTATATGATTTTGAAGGTAATTGCATTATATAGATCAATCATCTAGTAACTGCACTGAGTGTTTAATTTGGTGGCCGTAATAGTTCAATCATCCATCAAGATTCACCATGTTTGGAAACCTTTTCAATTTCAACTTTTGGCAATTGACAAGTAAGTTGATGCAGTGCTAATTTTTGTTTGTTGATTATACCAACATGATAAGATATCCTAATTAAGCATGAATTACTAGTAAAAATAGAATCAGATTTTCTTTGTGTTACTTGGTTGAAGATGTTTGTTACAACAGCTAAAAGTGATGTTTGCTGGTGGATGTTAATACGAATTGTATTTTTGATTGCTAGTGCTTTTTGTATTTGACTGAGAGTAAAATATGAAGTTGTTGCCTTATAAAGTTTGGTGCTTTTGTCACTACAAGAAAATAGGCCTTTAGCGAGAGAAAATCTGGTCGTTAAAAGTCCAAATCCGGTCGTTATAAGTTTATAACGACCAGAAAAAATCCGGTCGTCACCGGTCGTTAAAAGCCCCGACGTTAAAAGTTTAACGACCGGATTATAATGCGGTCGTTAAAGATCCTTTAGCGACGACATAATTTTCGGTCGTTATACATCCTTTTTAACGACCGGATTTTTCCTTCACTAAATTGTTATCCAGTCGTTAAAAGTCTTTAATGACAACAACTAATTCAGTCATTAGAAGTGCTTTTAGCGACCGATATTCCCTTCGTTATTTGTATTAATTTTAAAAACCAAATTTACCTTTATTAATGCCCATTAATCTGTTTGAGAAATCTATCATTAAAGAGTTTCAATGGCCATATTTTTCTTTGCTAATGTAAAATTGTACTAAATATAAGTACAAAAATTTAAATTAGATGTATAGAACTAATTATTTATATGCTTTCATAAACACCCAACAATACTCTAAAATAAACCAAATACTTGGTATCTTTGTCAATATAAAGAACTAAAGTATCATATTTACCATAAAACAATCTAAATCGTATGACATCATTTTTAATAATTCCTAAGAAGAGAAAAATAAAATTGCAGTATATGTACAGTGTTTTTAAACCATCCCTAACAAAATATAAACCTCTTGTACTTCAACTTGCTCTAAACTTTCTTCAAGGATAGGTTCTTCGGACTTCAAATATTTGATCTGTTAATATAACAAAGGTATGCCAGTTTAGTAACAAAGAATAAACAACTAAAGAAGAAATATCAGATCCATTAAATTAAAGGCTACACTTAATGGCCATAAACAAGAATTGAAATAATACAACGATCAGATGACTTGTTCCATATATTGCAGGTTGATAGATATGAACAATAGAGAAGAAGAAGCCAAAACTTATCTATTTGGAAATCCAGGCTTTACTTGCTACAATATACATGGTAGTATATAGTCAGTTGAATATGACAACCCCTAAAGGGGGCCAGAATGATATTAAGTACATTTAGTATAAAAGAAAAAGTAAGCCAATGAACTGGCACTAAGAAGAGTTAGACTCTGTCAAAGGCATCAGAATGAGTCATAATTGGCAACAAAGACAAGAACAAGTAGTAGATGAACAAGAGGAAAATAGATATCCACACATGCATAACCAACAGATTCACAATTATCTTGTCCCCATGTATGCTCTCTGCGGGAGATTGTCATCAGTCTCCCTTTGCCAGCTTCCTCTAATAGGAGTACAATATCATATTATAGAGATGAACCGTAAGGTTTTCCATGGCATCGAAACTGTCTAGAAAATGTATTTTATGCAGATTTAGAAAGAAAATTGTGATGGAGGGTTTCTGGAGAACAAAATTTGTGGCTCACTATCATCACATACCTTATAAAAAATGCCCAAAATTAATTGCTAGTAGAGAAACTAAAAGAGTTGAGAGGGAAGTGATTGGCCTTGGTAACAAGGACTGAGCTTTGTGAACAAGAAACATAGAGAGCAACCTCTAGAGAAATCTTTGTACTTATTCTTTTTAATCTGCTAAGGTAGTAATTGAAGTAGTCAAAGAGCTTCCTTTCATTAATTATTAGAAAATAGAGCTAGCTCATCAAAAATAATTTTGCAAGAATATAACTATCAATTTTTATTTTTTGCAAGAATATCTTTAGCATAAGAAAGTGAAGCATTCATTAAAATTTCATTCACTGTATGACGAGTTCATTCATTTGGACAACTTGTTAGACGTGTTGTCATAAATATAATTACCTAATGCAAAGTAAATACACAAATATAAGTATATAACAATAACAATGCCTCAATCTCAATCAAGTTGGGTAAACTTATGAAAAGATTCCTAGCAAATATTGAACCTAGACTAATTGTAATAAAAGGATCTAAGACGTAATCTCAACTTACTCCCACATGTATAGATCTTTTCTTTAAATTGTGCTATATTTTTTGCTAGGTTTGCATGAATTCCAAGAAATTATAGGTCTTTCGAGATAACTCCTTAAACATATAAATAGAAGACAAATCCAAAACACTATCCTTTTCAATCTTCAAGAAATTCATATGTAAACTATGTTAGACCTTTATTTGTCTTAACATCCTCTTACCGAACGGGTGTGACATTGGTTCACTTTATGCATATTCTCCAATATAAAGAAAAAATTGCACCTCCTTGAACTAGCTAACAAAATGCTATTTCAGTACCAAACCAGAAGCACCCAATACGGCTCTAATCAAAAGTGAAATCCAACAACATATTATTTTAGTGAACAAAGATATTCCAACTAATTCATTATCAAGATATTCTCTTAAAGGGAAACTCTAAAACAAATCCAGAGAATCAACAAGAAAGCTTTACTTAATTTTAAATGAATGGATTCGTAAAGAAATCAATTATCTAACCAAACAATTTATACCCCAAACTCGGCTTATCCTTAACGGCTCATTTTAAAGCTTGATTCACAATTAGTTAGATAAAATAGAACGGGAGTGATAGAAGTCATTGCTAGAAAAATAATATATACAGTACCAAACTCAACTTTTACTTGTCATATATAACGCCAAGACCGGACGAATAAGAACAGATAGATAGACTTCTAGTATATTGTAATTACAAAGAAATATTTCCAACTGAAATGAGGCAGCAGGGCCTTAGGATTTGGGAACCTATTCTACTGTCATTGAAGGCACTACGCATAATCAGAATGCCAGCTAAACTTTCTTATTAAGGAAAAGGTTTCTCACAGGAGCCAAAAATAATTCCATCACAGAAAGTTTTATTTATTGAAAATAAGGAGGACCAGACATTCCTTTTTTTAAAATATATTTATCTTAATGGTGATGGAAGATTCTTAACCAGTATCATAGAAAGTATAAGTACATTAAACACTAACTAAAAATAAAATGGAACACATGAAATATTAAGGAAACAAGAGAAATTGCATGAGACTTATTAGGATAGATCTTTGAGAAGAAAAGGAACTCTTGAAGGAAACTAAATGCTATTATAAAAGGCCCGCAGTTCTAACTCTAGTAGAAAATCAAAACAAGTCTTGCATAGCAAAGAACGAGACTAGAGGGGATCTTCAGGAAATGGTAAGATAACACTTGCAATGGCAAGCACTTTCTATTTAGTGAAGTACATACTGGATTTTGCTTTGGAGTTTGGTGCATAAAACAAGGATAGATATTATACTATATGTGGTTATTCACTTTGTATATTACTTAACGGAAGTATATAGCAAAATAGGAAAACCGAAGATGTTGTTGTCAAGTTTAACATGAGACCTTAAGTTTCTCTTACTCACTAACACATGCAAAAAACACTAACTATGCATTAAAAGACATATTGAAAACTTTGTTGATACCAGCTCTGAGCTCTCTAAGATGAGAATCATTCAAGCACTTATTTTTTCACTTTCTCATAACTACCCCTTGCAGCTTTATATTCCGCAACTGCTCAATCTTTCACTTTGAAAAACCAAAACTTGGATCATGGACTTCCTCACATTCTAACTTGCATTTTTCTCATTTTTAGTATTCAACCAGTTACCAATCATAGAGACGATCAATCAGTCCAGATAATAATTTAATAGCAATTGAATAATCAGCAACTACACAGATTTTGACTCCAAAATTCAAGCGAGGAAAAAAGCGACTAATTGAACTCGGAACCGTGAACTTCGTCCTCGAACAGTCACGTCCGAACCCGCAAAACACCAACCAAGCTCAAGCAAGATCCATGAACGAAGATCAATAGGGCAAAAACCAAAATATATATATTTTTTATTTTATATCTATGTATATGAAAGAAACTTAACTCCAAAATTAGAGGAGTAATATCCGAAAATCAGAGAAGAAACTTAAATCTTTGTATATCTCTTTCTGTAATTTTTTTTCTGGAATTTGAAATGCGAACAGAAGGTCGAAGAAGAAAACCTAAAAGCAGAGAAGAAATTTTGCACTTAAAACCCTAGCTTTTCACTCACTTTTTCTGTTTAAAACTTAATAATTGAATTTGAACAGCCATGGTTTAGAACTGGGATTTTATCTACACTAAAATTGACATAAAAGGGTACAATTTCGAACCTTACCTTGATGAGAAGAAACTCGAAGATGAGCACTTCGCTGAATTTTACTTCGCCGTTGCATGAGAAATAACAGTTGCGGTTTACAAAATAAGTGTTCATAACAGAGGAGTTGGAGAAGTCTCGGGGTGTTTTCCTTCTTTTTTGGGTGGTTGACGGATCCAGTTACGGGTGGGAAGGGAAAAAAAAGAGGGAAAAGTTAGCGCCACTTTTTTATTATTTAATAACGACAGGCTATGTTATATTTTAAGGCCAGAATATTAATTATCCCCTAGTTAATATTGAGCTAATAATTAGTTTCAACGACAGGAAAAAAATTTGGTTGCTATAAGTACACTTATAACGACCGGATTTTAGTCCCTTCGTTAAGAAGTGGTCGTTAAAAATCAAATTTCTCGTAGTGTGTATTACAATGGGGTTTCTAAATTATGAAGTTCCGACCTTTTTCTTGTGACACTTTCCTACCATAGTTAATATTGTCACATGAGACCTATACTCCTTAAATCGAACCCATTTGGATATTACTTCGCTAGTTGTATGTGTATCTTCTGGCTTGATACTGTATAGTTAAATTGATCAAATCAAAATCTAGGTTAAGATTCTTTATGTTGCTTTCCTTTCCATGTGAGTTCTTTTTGAATTAATTGCTATATAACCAAATATGGTATGATCGTTTTTTATGGCTTTGCAGGTGAAGCAAATGAACAAGGGGTAGATGAAACGTGTGAAGATGATCTTAAGAGTATTAGTTGATAGTTGCAAGGCCTTTAGATGTTCTAGAAATCTTTCTTAGAAATTTTAGCAAATTTATGTATATTAACTCTTGAATTTAGAAATCCACTTCCAACCAAGAGTTTGTGAGTTCGAGTCACCCCAAGAAGAATGTGGGGAGTTCTTGAAGAGAGGGAGCCGAGGGTCTATCGGAAATAGCCTCTCTACCCCAGGATAGGGGTAAGGTCTGCGTACACACTACCCTCCCCAGACCCCACTAGTGGAATTATACTGGGTTGTTGTTGTTGTTGTAACTCTTGAATTTGTCAAATAATATTATCTTTTTTGCTTTATATATTATATATGGACAATAGTAGTTGGATAAATTGAATTGTGATTTTTCCATTTAATAGTTTCTTTTGTGATTTGTATAAATTTCAGTGCAATATATGTTTTATTATAGTACTAGACTACTAGGCTGTTGCAATAGCTAAAAATACCGTTGCAATAGCTACTAATAATTGCCTTAGCTTGAATTTTAACGTAGTTTCTATCAATACCATCAACAAAGGTTATTCGTTTCAACTATTCTTGGATTTAACCAAAGCATATTGATGGATAGTCATATATATATATATCCATGTCGCTGCAACTTCTACCCAATCAAAAAAAAAAGTTGAATGAGAGGTTAATAAAGAGAAAAATCCATACCTAAATAGAAAAATATTATACGGGGAAAAAAGTAAAATATGAAAAAGGAATATTTACATTATAACAAAGTTTGACTACTATAACTGCACTTTAGATATTGACTCTGAAGTTTGCACTGCTACAGGCTGGATTCAAAGATAAAATTTCTGTAGAGATTGTGTAAGATGATGGTTAGTTCATTCTTACCATCTCAATGTTCTTGGACCTTCACCTGGTGCTCGAGCAGGTCGTGCCTCTGTGAATTTTGTGTCAAACAGTTGTTGTAGTCTTTTCTCCCGTTTTTCTTTACTGGTTATTGTATTGTATTTCAACTTTTTTTGGTTTCTTATAATGCTTTATTATTTTTATAGTTTCTGTTAATGGTACTGATATATTGTCTCTTTCGTCTTTTTCGTTTTCTTGAGCCGATGATATATCGGAAACAGCCTCTCGGGTAAGGTCTGCGTACACACTACCCTCCCTCACCAGACCCCTCAGAATTTCTTGATTCTAAAACAGTTCGATAAATTAGTGCTTTATTTGTATAGTCAATCTTGAAAAGAATTTCTCGAGCATGATTGAAATCAATGTGAAAATAAGACAAAAACCTTTGAGGCATTGACTAGTGATCCTATCTTTATGATTTCATAAAGCCTGTTCTCTATGAAGCTGTCTTTTTTCTTTTGTTTCTATTATCACAGCTACAAAGATGATGCAAAATAAGAAGGATAATGTACATCTAAATAAAAGCGTCTTTTATTACTTGCTTTAATCAGATAAATGAAGATCAGAAGACATGAGAGTTTATTATACAACTCATACTGTATGTTACTTTACAATGATATTTTGGTCTTTATAACTACAGGAATTGATATCATGAAAATATTGAAGAAATCGTTTCAAGAACCATCGTCCTTCTCACATTATTGAAGGAAGAAAGACAGAAATGCAGTTTTTTCGGTTCCCCCTATTTTCTAAGAAATCTTTTTCACTTTTTTCTAAATATAAAATTTTCAATTTTCACTTGAACATGAATTTTGAGATTTTTCGAAAATTTGAAAAACTCCAAAAAACTATTTTTCAAAATTTTCACTCCGATCACTCACAAAACTTCAAAAATAACCCAAAATTATATTCATGTCCAAACACAACTTTAATTTTCAAATACCATTTTTACTTGAAAAAATAAATCACTTTTTTTAATGGAATTTTACAATTCTTATGTCCAAACGCCCACTAAATCTTGTAGTTTGGTGATGCTGTTTCTAAGGAAGGTCTTTGGTGCTTCTGTGTGTGCCGCAAGTTGAAGCTGGAAATAAGCAACAAGTGAGGTAATGCAAAAAAGAATCAATTTTTTTCATAAGAGAGCCAAAAATGACATTATATAGTCAACTGTAATGGCAAATTTCATAACCAAATGAAATACTACAAAAATAGGCGACTGTCATGGTAAATCCATCATATTATTTCAAATAATAAAAACATTACCTTTCAACTACTAAACCTAAATCATAGCACAAAATACTACAATGTTTCTTGTGGTTATTGCAATGTTTCATTCTTCAACTGGTCAATTACAAAACCAAATCCTGTTTTCTGTAAAATTACTAGCGCTTTATATAGGTCATTTCTTAGATTACTTATTCTTGCTAATGGGCCATTTATATCATGCTTAGCTTATGTGTATATCGATTTAATTCTAGACTTCTTCTTTTTCCACGGACATGAACAAAACCACACATTAATATATATTTAATATTCTAATTCATGAATTAAGTAAATAAAATGCATGGTTAAAGTTTAATCAATATTTCAACTGTAATATTTATATCTATCTATACTATATTAAAAGTACGAAGACCCTTAGCGAAATGTCGACTTTTTTACCCTCTAATGATAGGGTTCATACTAGACAAAATAATCATTTAATTATTTTCCTAAAATTATGGACTTTGAAATTAATTAAAAATTTATTTATTAAATACTTCCTTATTTTAACCATGTACAAGATCCTAAATATTAGGACTCTTCTTAAATCCTTCTATGTTTCCAAGTTGTTTTTTAAACCATGTCAGGAACCGTTTGGCAATTCTTTTTCCAAATCTTTGGCCTTTTTATTTTGATAAAAAATAATCTAATCATATTTAGTATCAAACTTAGATAGTTAAATATAATAAAATTCTATCTTTGTCCGAATTCCTGTCAGGAATATTTATTTTTCAAGTCTTTACCCTTTTTGTTTTGTTATAAATAATATAAATTATACTTGAACTTTAATAGTTAAATATAATAAAATTTCATCGTTGGCCAAATCCAAATTATAACCTTTTTAGTCTATTTCTGTTAGACTTATCGGCTAATTTGGTAACCAAAAGCGAAAAATACAAGCAAAATAAGTTTTTTAACAAATTGTTCTTTTGAATTTTAGTTTCTTCTCTCTCCGTTTATTGAAATGTTGCGTTAACATTTTGACATATATAATTAGAACCGTCCCAAAATCTCATAACCATATTTGCTATAGTTGGAGCAATTTTACATCTCATTAGAGCATTAAAATCTATATCTATCTATCTATTTATATTATATTAAAAACATAAAAGCCCTTAGCGAAATATCATTCGCCTATTTTGCCCCTTAAAAATAGATTTTATACTAAATAAAATAGTCACTTAATTATTTTTCTAATTTTAGGACTTTAAAATCAACTAAAATTTTATTATTAAAATTTTTATTATTTAAAGGCCATTAATATTAGAGTTGTATTGAACTATTCCTATAAGATTCTTTCTTATTTAAAACGTGAGTTAGCAAAATTCTGTAGGAGTCAAACACACAATGAATTCTGAAAACATAAAGATTCAAAACATATGATTTTTCTTACTATTTGAAAATCGAATTCTTATTGGAAAAATTATAATTATTATCAAATATTTAAAAACTAGAATGAGCAAAATATTCAGAATTTGAATTAATAAAAATTAAGTTATTTTTTTTTATGTTGAGAATAAATAATTAAGTCGTTGAATTAACTAATTAGCAAACGAATCCAATTCAATTATTTTACAAATTTATCATATAAGAAATGTTTTTGTTAAATTGACAAAACACTTAAAGTACATGAATTTTATTTTTGTAATAAGACTATCGACTTTGAAAAAAATCATAAAATATAGCAAAATTAATTATAATAAAAAATGAAGATTCAGATAGGTGAAAAAACTAATTTAAGCAATAAGGTAAAATTATAGAAGGCAACTAGATTATAAATGAGTTGTCATTTGTTTCTTTCTTGCATTCAGTCCAACAAATGAAAATGTCTCGCTATAATTTTTATACTAAGTTTTTTCTTGTAAAATATTAATTCAATATTAGTCATTCTTTAAATTTTACATTGTCACTATCAAATTTTTAGAAGGTATAATGCCAATTTTTTTCCATTCACAAATTTTTAAAAGACCAAGAAATCGATCATAGTGATTGATGGCTCTTTCAATTCGTCGAAATGGAATACTTTGGCGTGTACCAAAATGGAGAATTTGGGTCAGAGAAAAAGTATTTGGCCGAAGCCAAAAAGAGGCCTTCAGACGAGAAAGAAAGAGTAGAAAGATAGGTTTTCCATTGCTCTTTTCTTTGTCCTTCCCCCCAATATTTGCACGGAAACTATCAATAGCGATTGTTGCTCCTTATGCCTCGTTCCGCTCAACTCTCCCTTCAGAGCTACCCTTGCCTGATCGAATCCGCTTTTGGAACCCTTTTAATTTGTGTTATTTGATAAATCTTTAAAGAATTGTAAATATTAACAATTTTCATAAGTTTCGATATAAGTCCGGAAAAAATAACAATAAAGCATCTAAATAAAATTCCTTCATTTGTTAAGCTAACTAAATGAGAATAATATTTATTATTTAAAAAAAAACTTAAATTATATTTTATAACTCAAACAAACTATCTAATAATATGTATGTAATTTTTAAAATTTGTGTATTCATTAATATAGGTATACGCGCAAAGCGCGTACCCCAACACTAGTAAAGATTAAAACAAGGAGCAATGTGATACAACTAGATCGAGAAATATCCTTAAGCAAGAAGATATACAACAGAATAAGGTTCTAGGATTAAAGAACAACGATTAATTAGCAAATTGATCTCCCATCTAATTTCTGACTTCTGAGTCGCATTAATAAATTTAATTCATACCATTTCCTTTTCTTTTTTTTTATTGATTACTTAAAATTTATAAATCCTTTTGGGTGTCGACTTCTAAGGCATAGTACAGAGTCCACGACTGATGAGATAACCTTAGAAAGATTATACTAAGATGTATTGCATTAAAAAACAGGATAAATGTAGAATGGAATTTGAATATTGGTACCAAATAAATGAGAGAAATTCTATCACAAAGATCAATAAATCAGTTATGAAAAGATAACAATGCTTGGAAATGTATTATATATATATATATATATAATTGCGAATCCACTAACTAAGACAATTATAATTTCTATGTCAAATTCAGAACACATAAATTTTAAATTTTGGCATTTGAAGCTTTTTTACTTCATCTGATTTCATGTCATAGTATATAATTATAGAACTTTCATCTTCTACAAATTGGTTTATTAATATCCAATTCAGAGACCAAAATACACAACCTTCCCGGGAGAGCAA